GAAATCTCATTTTAATCTTTAATTATATTTATATTAAATGTTATTATAAACGATAATACGTAAATTTTAAACTTAAGTATCTCTTATCATGGATTATCGAATGATAATAAATAAATTTCTCTCAAATCAGAATAAAAAGCCGTCATTAAATTTATCATTTAATTTTAACGATTCAATGATTTAATAATTCGAAAATAAGGAAAAATTCATGGATTATTGATTCCGATCAAATTTTCATTTTATCCTGAAAAGAAAAACTCCTTCGATTCTCGAGGAATCTGTTTAAAGTTGCAAGGCCGTGGAACGTTGATCGTTTAATTTCTCGTTTCTCGAAAGAAGAAGTAGGATTCCGATTCACGTTTATTCGAGCGTCTCGCCGAATTTTCAAACGATTCCGAGAGGCTGAATCGAATGCTCGTTGGGCCGTGATACGCCCGCTCGCTCGACTGTCATCCCAAGCAATTATCACGATCTGTTTACGCAATAAAGCAAATAAACGTCCCCCGTGTAAGCACATGCAGCATAATTGCACGATAGTTGCACGAAGACGATAATTAAACGCCGCCGACTGTTCTGGATTTCGAGAGATTTCGAGCACCCCTGCAACTTCTCCCTCACGATTGAATCAAAAGAAGAACGCAAAAGATATTTCCACGTATATATTTCCCTCGAATCGATCACTATTTGCTAATCGTTCCTCCAATTCGAGCCTGTATTTCGTGATCAAAACATCCTTTAATAAGATCATCATGCGATTATAATTCTTCATATTATGTCTATTAATTTTCATGAAATTCTTTTTCAACGAAAAATATTCTCGTAATTTTAAAAAACTTGAATGGAATTTTTCCTGAAAGATTAAATAGATTTTTTTGAAGGAAATAATGAGCTTATAAATAATTTTAATTGACAAAACAAAAAGCATCTTTAGAATAACTCTACAAGATTTCGAAGAATCGAGAATAAGCTCGAAATATTTCTCTCTAAATATTACGTACGAATGACATGCTATTAACGATATTAATAATATTCTAATTAAATTAATAATAAGGAAATTCTTTTTCAACGAAAAGTAATTTTAAAAAACTTGAACAGAATTTGAATTTTTCTTGAAAAATTAAATAGATTTTTTTTGAAGGAAATAATGAGCTTATAAATAATTTTAATTGACACGTAGACAAAAACAAAAAGCATCTTTAGAATAACTCTACAAGATTTCGAAGAATCGAGAATAAGCTCGAAATATTTCTCTCTAAATATTACGTACGAATGACATCCTATTAACGATATTAATAATATTCTAATTAAATTAATAATAAGGAAATTCTTTTTCAACGAAAAATATTCTCGTAATTTTAAAAAACTTGAATGGAATTTTTCCTGAAAGATTAAATAGATTTTTTTGAAGGAAATAATGAGCTTATAAATAATTTTAATTGACAAAACAAAAAGCATCTTTAGAATAACTCTACAAGATTTCGAAGAATCGAGAATAAGTTCGAAATATTTCTCTCTAAATATTACGTACGAATGACATGCTATTAACGATATTAATAATATTCTAATTAAATTAATAATAAGGAAATTCTTTTTCAACGAAAAGTAATTTTAAAAAACTTGAACAGAATTTGAATTTTTCCTGAAAAATTAAATAGATTTTTTTTGAAGGAAATAATGAGCTTATAAATAATTTTAATTGACACGTAGACAAAAACAAAAAGCATCTTTAGAGTAACTCTACAAGATTTCGAAGAATCGAGAATAAGCTCGAAATATTTCTCTCTAAATATTACGTACGAATGATATCCTATTAACGATATTAATAATATTCTAATTAAATTAATAATAAGAAAATTCTTTTTCGAAAAATATTCTCGTAACACGGAGTAATTTTAAAAAACTTGAACAGAATTTGAGTTTTTCTTGAAAAATTAAATAGATTTTTTTTGAAGGAAATAATGAGTTTATAAATAATTTTAATTGACACGTAGACAAAAACAAAAAGCATCTTTAGAGTAACTCTACAAGATTTCGAAGAATCGAGAATAAGTTCGAAATATTTCTCTCTAAATATTACGTACGAATGACATGCTATTAACGATATTAATAATAATTCTAATTAAATTAATAATAAGGATTATCTTAATTAAATTAAAAGGGAGTAATATTCTAAGGATAATTCAACTATAATATTTACGCTGTATTCTCGATATATATATATATATATATGTATAACCGGAGGCAAAGATGGCCGCCGTCACGTCGAACGAGACGATCCTCGAGCTAAGCACGTTAATAATATTAAAGTATACGGGACGTCAGCTCGTTCGAGCTACTTCTATCTCGTAGCTTCGAGCTGAATGAAATCCACTGCCACGTGTCGACCTAACCGTGAGATCCCTCGAGACATTTTCGCGCTGCGCCTCGTTCGAGCGAAGAGGATCGGGATCCTCTTTTGTTGAAACGACGTTATCTCGATGACACATAAAGAGGATCGTTTATTGTACACTTAAGAAGAATATTAAAAACGTGGAATAAAAATGATTGGCGAGGTCAGACGTATTCGATGTGTATCGTCTCGGTATTTGTAAAATTCAAAACAGCTTTTTAATATCTAAATTTTTCTCAAAGTTCAAGAACAAGTCGAAGAATCTTGATATTGAAAATTTATACGCTTATAAACTTCTGAATTTTGCTCTCCTTTTCTTTTTTCGCTGAATTCTAAGAAATTTTCAATTTTCTAAATCTTGTCGACTTTGAAATTTTCTATGACTTCAATTTCGAGAAGAATATATATATATAAACATCTTGATTAAAATTTCAAAAAAGTAAATTTGAAAGCTTAAAATCGGCAAAGTTCGAAGGATTAAGGAAAGTTAAGGTTTAATGTTACTAAAATTATATAATGTTTAATGTTACTAAGGTTTAATGTTACTAAAAATTAAATAATATAATTATATATAATTATATAATGTTATTAAAATTATAGTAGCAATTCTTCAAAATTAAAAGCGTGATAAGATTCTCTTTCTCTTCCTTATCTATTCTTCATAAACCAAAAAAAAAAAAAAAAAAAAACTACATCGAGATTTTTTCGAGATTTTTCATCGGTTCGTTTAACATTTAACCTGGCCGACGTAATTACGTTCTTGAATCATTCTTAATCGCGGCATGGCGGATGTGAACGGCGGCACAAACGAAGATTAACAACGCTCGAAATGCGCACCGTTTTCATTCCCGTTGCATTTTAAGTGGATATATTCGGTCCCGAAACAGGTGGAAATATTTAAGCCGACGGCTCAGATTGATGAGGCTCAATTTCACCGTGGCGACAACAAGATTTGCATAGTGCCAAAACCTCTCGAGTTCCGCTTCAAAACTTCGAAACTCCCTTATTTTCAACGATTTATTAACCTCGACGCGAAATCTAAAATTTCTTCCTCGCCTCTTTAAATTAAGATTCTTCGTTTCCACGATACGAATATTTGCATTCGTATCACGAAATTATTGTAAAAGTTGATATTAATAATAAATTGACGATGAATTTCTTTCCCTCCCTAATTGACTCTAATAATAGATAGAATTAAGAAAGAAATTTGAATATTTCATTTTTAAGCTCGAGTTCGATGAGAAGGCTCTTCTTCTCCTCGGGGTTTATCGATTAAATGGCGCATCAAGTTCGACGAACGTGTTCGAGGATTCCAGTCCTCGCCCTACTTAATCCCGAGACACGCTTTATTTAACATGGACGATTTTAACGACGTTTTCTGCCGACGTTTCTATCTTTGGAAAACAAATGGCCACGCTGCGAAACGCGCCACTTGGGCCGGATATCCCTCTTGCAATTTAAATAATGCAAATGCCGCGCCTTAAACGCTCCGTTTCGGAAGTTAGGGGAGAGTTAAATCGAAAATAACAAATACAAATGCCACTTGCCGAGGCGAAATAAATGTAAATGATTAAACATTTGGTTTTTTTAGATCTAAGATATAATATAGATAGAAATGTTTCTTAAAATGTGAAACAGGACAGGTCGATCGATTTGATAATATTAACGTTCGAATCGAAAATCGATAATTTTCATTTACCTTTCATTTTCGAGTGGAACGCACATTGTTCCAAATCGATGCAATTTTCCCCTAAGAATTATACTTTGTCAACGACACACTTCGTAAATGTAAAGTTAAATCTAGCCTAATAGGATAAAAGGTATTCTGTCATACTCACACCATCTCGTTCCATGAGATAATCGGCAATCGAATCAAGATCCTTCAATTTCTCAGATCGTCGACTCCTCAAAATCCTCCCAATAATCCTCTATAACGGATTACTCACATCTTACATTCATACTCCTCTTATCGCCCTCTCGATCGATTTTCCCTCCATCGATTCGCATAAAAAATCGCTCATCGCCAGCAATATCTTCGATACTAACATCCTGCTATCATTTACCAATTTCTCATAGAAAGAAAGAATTTTTCTGGCAACGACTTACACGAATAAATCGGCAAAAAAGAGAAAGAAATTTCAAATTACTCGTGCGTAGTTCAATCGACAATAATAATTTGCATTTCATTGTAAATTACATTGGTTTTTTACGATAAGAAACATTAGAACAGATCTCACAAGCTCGAGCGCATAAAGCAACGAAATGGACGAAACAATATTCACAGATACAGGAGGTTGAATTTCACCCAATCGAAAATGGTGGAACGTATCTTTGGTTGATGGCACAAGCGTCTCTGATAACTCGTCCTTTGGATTATCATTCCTATAACAGCGGCGCAAGATCGCACGAGTTGATGCTTTGATGGTGGCCTTTATCAGGACATTTGGCCGGTCCACAGTGGAAAGGATACCGAGTCCTTTATCGAGGATCCTGTAACGACGCTACCGTTTCGAATAATGTAAAGCTATTTGTTTCTATCCGTTTTTATTTGTTTTTGTACGCGTGGTTCCCATTCGAGCGTGTTGTAGCGTCCATTGCAGTACAATTTACTGAGAGAAATTGTATTTAAGCGATATGGGATTTGTCAAGTGATATTTATGCATGAATTTTTTTAAAAAGGCCAAACAGGAAAAACGATATAAATCCAATAATAAAAAGCAAGTATGATTTCATCATCTCTGAAAAGATAAATTTAATATATATATTTAATATATTTTATAGTTTGATATTTAGTAGTGTAACTTTTTAATACGTCATATTCAGTGTGGAACAACCTTATAAAGGACTGAAACGTTTTGGTTCACAAAGGAAGTTGAGATGCGCAAATTGGTTTCCACGTAACTTTCACATCCTGTTGTTTAGACTGACCAATTTAGTCCTAAGTCAATATGCTCGTCGACTAAAACCTTCTTCTACGTTCCTGAAACAAGGAAGTTTAGCTCGTTTCTCCGTGTTCCGGTTTCCAAGTTTTCATTTCTCAAATCCTAGCTAAGAAATCCGATGTGTAATCCCTCTTCGTTACTCGATCATTCGTGTAGCATACCTGTTGAAACGTGTCCACTTTCCGTCCCACCGTTTCGAAAACTCTGAAGTAGTTTCATTGAGATGGACTGATTAAAACGCCTACGGGAACCACTGATAAGCTTCCTCCACGAGAAACATGGCATTGTACTGTTAAATAGTTTCTCTGGATTTTATTAACTGGACCGGAAATGATTGCCAGCTGCGCGGCAATTAACGTCACTCGTTGTGGAACAACGTGTCGTGAAATCTGGTTAACTGAAATTTTAAATGATTCTGGTAAAATAAACCACGAAAGATATTTCTTCTATTTTTTCGAGTTTTTTTTTTCGTTTGCATTTAATGCAATTAGTATTTTATGAGTTATTCATGGTTTATGATAAAACTTTATTATATTTCAATTAATCACAATGAACACATATTGATAAAGAGAATCAAATATCATTCATTTATGGAAAATTTAAATGTAGAAAAATCTATAGATAATGCAGGATATACAAGAAATATAGTATAAAATATCCAAAGAAAAATATATATTATGATATATTTAGAGGATGAAACAGATTTTTATTTCAATTCTATTCCTATATCTGATCATAAAAATATATATAAAAATAAAATATATAAATATATATATAAATATATAAATATATAAATATATATATAAATATATATATATAAAAATAAATATAAAAATAAAATATCAACTATATCAGCAATATTTAACCTTTTCTTTATCACATATTGTTTTAAATCAATTTGCTAATAAAAATAATAGAGGTTAAATGAATCATTTTATATATATTCTACGTAAATATATTAGTACACCAATACAACTTAAAACACAAGCAAAAACATTTAACTCGTTCAAAGCACGTGCAACGTTAACTGCTATTATTCTAACCTATCTAGTTCTCTTCCGATTAATCGATTACACTGTCCGCATCTATTCCGTCTCGATTAATCGATTCTACCATCCACTTCTATCTCTCGCAGGTTAATCGATTCTGGATAATGTGGTTCCGTGACCATGGCGATTGCCGACCGTTTCGATGATATCGATAAATCGAGGCAGTGTGAATGGACTCGAAAGGAGCTGACTATGTTCGAGAAGATAGCTACGATGTGACTGTGCATGCAGTATTCATGCGGTGTAACGGCGGCAATAAGCTTCGCTCAGTGGAACTGTTAGAGACTATATAATACACATTTTGTACACATCCGTATATCCGTCACGGTTTTAGGTTAAGTTATATCTACGCGCAACGCGTGTTTCACTTGGTTAAAGTTTCTCGGAGTGTTTGAATAGACGAAAATCTTTTGACGAAGAAAAGTTAGGTTAGGTTATACTAAAGGTCTCTAATGTTACTACTTATTTTTTCCATTTATTCTCTTACATATAATATATGTAATCAGAGAATGAAATTTTTATTCTTGTTGAGATTTAATTATTGCATGAATATTTAATTTTTTATGATTCAGACTTGTCTTTATAAAACTTTTGTGTCTCGAGATTTTTGTGAATAACTATGAATATAAACACGAGTATCACGTACAATATTGCAGTAAAGGAGAAGAAATTTGGACTATTAGAATTCCAAGGTATTTTTTTCAATTTTATATTGCTAGATTTTTTTTGTTCTTCCACTATTACACGTCTACACATGAGAAATCGTCCAAGGCGTAGTTACGAAGTTTCTCGGGGTAGGGAAGTGATTTCGGAGGAACTGTAGTTGTTTCGAGCGAACTTTTAGGCTTTCTTCCACAACGAAGCACAAAATTTACGATCTCTATTTATTCCAGAATGAACGCTCGTCGTTTCAACGCGGTAAAAAGTTTCGTGGAACGATGATAATCGCAACTTTCGAAGGAGATAATGATGGTTAAGGAGGTTAGGGAATCGACGTTTAAGATGATTTTGGTGTCCTTCTTACTTGTGGAGAATCACGAAAAGGATCATTCCCTGCCTAAGCATATATTTTATTTTGCGGTAAATTGTTTGCACAGGTCTTGGTTTTTCTCATAAGATCTTGGGTCGAAGTATATCCTCGTTCATATGTATTAGGAGATTTAAGGGATAAACTTGAAGTATCGTTGGAGAATTATTATCACATCTAGTCTGTATTTTACACATCTTAAAATCTGATCTATCAATTTTTTTCAATTAATCGAGTATCGAGTTCTCTATCGTAACGAATTAATTTTCTCGCAGAAAATTGAGATTTTTTTTAACGTTTATAATAAAAAATTTGGAATTTTTTTGTAACTGGATATCGTTGCATTTCGGATGCAATTGTTTCGCGTCAATTTTAATCGATGCACCGGCTATGGGATTTTAATTTTTCCCGCCAGTAACGAACAGTTGTCGTATGAATATTACATGAAATCTTCGTTCACATTACGGTTATTACAGGAAATTCACGAGCATTCAATTCTCTGCTTTATGATAGAATCGCGATATTTCTTCGATCTCGATGAAATTCGATCAATCTGATTCATGCTAAAAATTATTGCGTATAATCCTGTAATCTGCATTCGCCATGTGCAAATGCAATGCGCCATAAATATTAAAGGTGTGAAATTATAACGGAGAAATAGCGCCTCCCGACACATTCTCTATAACAGAGAAGTTAAATCGTTTTATTCATTGGAATTTTTATATACGTGATATGAAATAATCCAAATAAATTAATCGCTAAAATATCCCATCTGAAATCTTTCATTCTTCAATTTTACGTTTTATGTTATTTTACACCTTCTAAAGGATAAAATATTTATGATGATCATTTTTACGATATTTACCGTATCTTTTACACGTTTCAATTATTTTTTAAAATTCTATTGGATAATAATAATTCTAAGGACTATAATAATAATAATAATAATAGGATATAGAATACAATTTAATCCCAATTATAGATTATAAATAAAAATAAATTTAATTTAATTTCGATTAGATTACTAGAAATGGCGTATTTGTTACTAAGTAAATTATTATTTCGTCGAACAATTGTTTCTCCTCGACGAATCGAGAAACGAACGACCTTTCTTCTCTGCAACCGATTCTTTGATTTAAAGATAAAGATAATAATACCAATACCTTACAACCCATGTGAAGTTTTCCATTGAAATTTCAACTGCTAATTAACCATATTGCTTTTCTAGGAAGTCATCAGATATCGAAATAATGTTATACAATATTGAGTTATAACAATATTCGTTACATAGAAGTATCAAATAGGGTCGATCATATGAGAGAGGTTCATTATCGCTTCGAGATCTAATTTAATTTGCTCGTTGGATAAACTTCCATCCAAGCTTGCGGTGGAATAATTATTAATCGTATATTAATTCCTTTTTTATCTATAATTATTCATAAGGATGATCAGAGCCGATTTAACTCTCGTTATTAACAACGTTTCACGCTTGGTATATGTGCGAGATATCGTGCTGTAAAACCGAATCATTAATAATAATTCGTCCTTTTTTCGATTGATATTAAATTTGTCGATAAGACAAAAGCGCTTTTATTATTTTTAACGCAAAAATATTAACGATTAATCTTTCGAATCCAAGATTTTTCTTCTTTTCACTTTGTGCAGAGAGGACAGTGTAATTTTCCAAAAATATCTTGTATAATTAAAAAACCTTGATGATGATGATATTATATAAATATTAGGTGTGCAAGTAAATTCTTTTCCTCCTTTTTCTACGGATTATAATTCCTGATCGAATTCGAAATATTATTTTATCGTTCGTGGCGCCATTCGAAAGAATATTTAATCTCTCTAATTGTTAGGTTTAAACTAAAAAAAAAAAAAAAAAAGAAAGAAATTATTCAGAGAAATAAACGGTTTCATCACCGTTTGCAAACTCTCGAATATAAAATTTCCAAGGAATTATAATTTATAATTCACCTCGCCCGATGAAATCGAATCAACTTTTCTATTTTTCGAGATCAATAGAATATGTCGCCGCGACACCAACATCGGCGCTCATCGGCTGGAACAAAGAGAACGAAAATCCTGGAACGATCCCACGAATTTCTCTTCCCTCTCTCCTCCATCCACAATAGTCGTTGGAAAGATAAAAAGGAGGGAAATCGGTGGGACACTTTTGTCCTTCCAACGTCAAATTTATCCGTGCAAAAGTTGAAAAGAGTGGCGCGATACGATTGAAATCGTGATGATATCTCGCGAGCCACCCTTTTTCATTCATCGCTTAATTAACCCCTGATACACACGCAAGTATTTTATTTCTCTCTCTCTCTCTCTCTCTCTCTCTCCCTCTTCCTCTTTCTCTCTCTCTCTTTTATTAATTTTCTTTCTCTCTCTTTTATTAATTAACCGTTCCTTTATATCCTCTCTATATGCCACCCTTATTAATTATTTACCTTAACCTATGATCGTACGACCCAATTTAACGATGATTAATTATCATCGCGTTAGGGAAAGTATCGGAAAGAGGTTGCAGAGTGCCACGAGCAGTTTCCAAAGCAGCATTACTCCTCGCTTTTAATCCATTTTCGTGCCTCGAGTTTCTTATCCAATGGTACCCAATCTCGAGTGGTTGGAAAGCAAGCTTCTCGAAGGCACCCTTACTTTTATTTCTACGGGAATAATCTTTTTGTCTGTATGGAAATATTCAGCATTTGAATGAAAAATGAAAATATTAGGTGTGCAAGTAAATTCTTTTTCTTTTTCTACGATTATAATTCCTTCGATCGAATTCGAAATATTGTTTTATCGTTCGTGGCGCCATTCGAAAGAAGAATATTTAATCTCTTAATTATTTATCACACTTTCGAGATGGATCTAAATTTTCTTCGAGAAGAAGATATTCGATTAACTTGATTGCTTATATAGATTATATTTAAATGCGTAGAAAAAGGAAAAATATATTGAAAACAAAAATCTCTATTTAAATTCTTCTTTGAACATTTCGTTGTGTAGTTGCTTGTGTTTTTTTTTTATTATTATGGGAATCTGGATATACGAATCTTATGGAATATATTATATTTATCCAATAAAAAAGTTTATTGTCATATTTAATATGTTAAGTTTATGTGGTTTTCCTTTTTTAGTTGGATTTTATTCGAAAGATTTAACTATTGAATATTTTTTTTCCAGAAAAATAAATTATTTTTCTATAGTAAATCTTATTATTGGAACAATATTTACTGTTTCATATTCATTTCGAATAATTTTAGTAATAATAAATAAATATTTAATAATTAATATAGTTTA